GAATCAACACGAAAAACAAAAACAAAAACAAAACAAGAAAACTGAAAAGAGAAGTCTCGAAATGAAATGTTGGCCATATCCTCAATATTTGCTTGAAAATCTGTTATTTAGTATATTACGTCTATGTAATTCTATGGTGTAACAGTTTCAATAGTTGTCATTCAGGAATACACGTAGACAAAACAATTATGTTCTCAGCGATCTTGACAATGCAAGCGAAGCCAATTACTGATCATTTTATGACGAATGGATAGCACCAAAAAATTACTCTTCTAATCATAACTATAACAAAGTTCTTGAACGTGATTGTTTATCACCAGCCCGATTTGAGCACTTGTAATTGGACAGTGTACTAAGGCAGTAAAAGAGACAATTAATACGCTATGCCTGTGTAGGTGAAAAGAACGCGTCATAAGCGCGCTGCTGTCTCGCATTTCGCCGAGTTAACTGTTGTTGCTGTTGTTTTTTGTCTTTTTTTAATGGAAAAAATATAACTGATCTCTAGTTTCTTTCTCAAATGGTATCTTAGTTTTGATTAATTGGTAAGAAGACTTCGTGTCGTCCAGTTTTGGAAATTACTGATATAATTGCAGACCGAATTGTATTCCACTCGGTCCTATTACCATTACAAATCCACGAAATTCGCTACGCTTTTCTTTCTCTTCATTTCCTTTTATCGATAAAAGATTTGTTTTCTTTGATATTAAAGCGGAAAACCTCTGCAGATTAGCCAAGAACGCAGAATTTGCTTCAACTTGCTTTCGACGCTTTGCTTGTACAGACGGTCACATTGAAATTCCTTGGTGCAAGCAAAGGTAATATATCGGTTTTTTCTAGGTGCTATTCATTTTTCAGTCAATCAAGTTAGCATATCTGCGCTGCTCAAATTAATCAGACACCGATAGTCAGTATGAAAGAGTAGCTATAGAAACAGCAGCAGGATTGAGGTGCAATACTTACATAGAAAAGACTCGAATTGTCTTCCTACCTGATGGGAGATTACTGGATCTTCCATCCCCTTCGAATTCGTGCGGAAGGTTACGTGAGCAGCCAAAGGATCCAAGAGTGTTGGTCCATGAGGCTGAAACGTGGCAATTATGTACACCACTGGCACATTTATTTATTGATATCTGTTGGCATAGATGAGAAAGTTGATACACATGATACAATGAAGAGGAACAGTAAGGGCCTGTTTATATGGAGGTGGGCGCAATCAGGTCGGTGAGGTAACCGTCATAGGCGAAGTAATCGGCCTTTCCATGTAATCCCATATTAATTTTTTTATCTTTACTTGATAGGTGGGGTTACCCACCAAGGCGGATTCCCAGTGTGCTAAGTAGGGTAACTCTGGCAGTCAGGGTCGTAATTAGCCATGTAAACATTTCAAAGTGGAGTAAACAGCGCGGGCGGGGTCGCTTTTATGTTACATTTGCAATCGCGCTGACAACCTCTAAAAACTTCACCCCGGAATCCCGAGGTTGTAAGATTGTATGTAAACGAATATGGCTGAGCGGGTTACATCTTTTACATGGGGTTCCCCAACTCCATTTAAACAGGCCCTAAGAGTAGTTCTGGAATTGTCACATGCTTCAATTCTAAAATTGTAAGTGGCTTTGCCTGAGGAAAGATTAGACATCTTCGTTGATTTTCGAATTGATCATATGAGGTGGTAGTGCTTCCAATGAAAAATGTAAGTTGATTATTTCTCTTTAACCTGCGTAAGTTTATTCATCTTCAGAAAAACCGGTTTTGCAAGAACAACGATACGATCCTGGTTTGTTTTTGCAGTTGCTGTTTTCCTCATAAAGAGGTATGGAAGCGTTGCATTCGTTAGCATCTGTAAATAAATTTTAGTTGCACGAACTTTTACGGTGGTGAAAAATATGTTGAGCCACATACGTTTTTCCAGAAAAATTATTATTTAGGCTCTCATCGTTATACCAAAAAAAAACAGAAAAAAAACTATATCAAAACAAAAACAAGTGAATAAGCACGTAGCTATGTTGTAACTAGCGAGTGATGGCATTGAAATTTATTTCTTAGTAATATAATAATAATAATAATATTCTCCCTGAATAGTTATGGGACTAGGTACCATAAGACTTATCGCCTAAGGATCGTTTTTTTTTTGTGTGTGTGTGTGTGTGTTTTTTTTCCCTTTGTTTTATTTTCAGACACGTATTTAGCTGCAAAACCTGTCTACTTGACCACGCAAAATCGTGCGAAAGTGAAACAAAGACTTTGTCCCTTTCATTTATTCTGTCGACGGCTTTTTCTATGAGAAAAGGAAAGGTAGGTACATCTACCTGACTATATAAATATAATTGTTGAGCAAGAACTTCATACAGTGTAACTACAATACAGAATCGCTTCATCATTACCACTAGCTCGTCCTTTTTTGTTAGAAGAATTTGAAGTACTTCAAAATAAAAAGACCAGAGGTTTGTTTGGACGTGATAAAGAATTAAGGTACGTTTATCGATTAATAATGGTATTGAGGCTAAGCGGAGTTCAATTCATTCCAAAATGATACGAGTGATGACAAAATTGGACGACTGCGCAGCGTGAGTCCGATTTGTTTAACACGAGTATCAGCTCAGACCTAATTGGACGACACGAAGTCTTATCACCAATTAATCAAAAAAATTACAATTACTGAGAAAAAGAGTATGGCCAAGTTATGAAAGAAAGGACAAATTTGCATAAACAGAACGACACCAGTGTTCTAAAAGATATTGCCAAGAAACCCACAATTCAGGAGTCTGTTAACCGTTGTTATGATGATTGAAACCAAGGTTGTGATTGATTGATTTAAAAACAACTTTGAATGTGATTGGCTTATTAATCTGTCTGATAATGAAACTTCTGGTAAAACTTGGCAATTGAATTATTGGAAAAATTGGAGTTTTTTAAAGCCAATCATAAGCGAGGAAATTATATATATATATATATATGTATGTATATCTACATATATATATATTTTCATTATGCTCACAATTGTTCACTGAGAATGAAGATAAAAAAGAAAAAGGATAAAATCAGATATAGCGAGAGAAAGTAACACTTAAGATGCTGTTATTATGCCCGTGTGTGTGTTGCAACATCCATTATAATTGTCGAGGTTGGATGTTTTCTTTCCATTGAAAAATAGATACGCATGCTCCTGAACGGCGACTTTCTCACTTGTCAAAGCATAACCAGATTATTTACTGTTAAAGTGCATCATTACCGTAACTTAGAGTTAAGTACAAATTGTGTTTTTAAACAGTATCATTTTCTTAAAACTTGTCTCCGTGGAATGTGATAGTCTCTTGTTGACTTATTAATTCAATCCAATATCAATGTGTACAATTAAATTACGCGAACGTTTACGAGATAAATACAGAAGACAAAAGAAGATTAGACTTTTCCATCTCTCTTAGGAGGAAGTACTGATACATTATTGAGATCCTTTCAATATTTGTCAGATCAATTATATCAAAAGAAAAAAGATAAAAGAGAATTTTTGACATCAGGTTCATTCTGCAAGCATCTTAGCCTTTAGATGTTATCCTGCTTCTCTCTATATTATAAATATTTTTCTCTTTCAAAGAAGTCGTTTATAACCCATTACAATCATTAAATTTATCGTAAATTAGTTAAAGTGACAGGGACTTGAGACATATTTGTCCGATACAATAAAAAAACAAACAATTTCATTTAAATGCAGCCAAGAAATTCAGGTTGGTTTCTTTTATGTCCCCATCTCTTCGAAGAAAAAAGAACCAAAGAAAAAGAAAATATTCGTCTCGAGAAAGTAAGGTACAATGTTTAGTTTTGATCATACAGGTCACCATTATATTCCCTGACTAAGGCGTAAGATCAGTAACTTACATGATTAAAAAAAACAGTGCTTAAAAGTTCATTTCCCTTATGGTCTTAAAGGTCAGGACTATTATTTTGGAAAACTCGACAAGCCCTCTAAAATAGAAATATCATTAATAATTATTCCATGTTTGAACAGCGTAAGAAAATAAATGACCAGTCAAATGTGCTGCGAAAAATGCGCCTAAAGCTGTACTGTTTTCAAGTAAACTTTCAAAAATAACTAACCTGCAACTTTACATATCTTGTACATACCTCGTTTTCTATCCAAGCGATGTGATAGCGCCCTTGCGAGCGGGAACTGTTCATAACTTTGTTCAGGGAATCAAACCACAGGTAGGAAACTGTTTTCATTTCATTACACTAGTTTATTTACCTTGAGACAGATTACAAAAGAAGACACATCGCACACTTTAATTTCTTAGTTTCACTTTCCCGTGTGTTTGTAAACAAGTGTTTGATTAGTTTTCGCTGTACACTTCAGAATAATATTTTTATTTCTTAAATTTCGTCGCCGTCGAGGTTTGCGATAATTAGACAATAGCCAACAACACGAAATAACAATATTTTCTGAGAAAGATTGGTCAATCAGCAGATCGATGACGGTTAGATTTCATTGAACGATATGATCTCGTAACCTGCTGATAATCAACTATGAGAAGATAAAACTGCGAGGTCCTTTCTCCAAATAAGTGATGGACAGAAGCTCGATGTATTCAGTAAATAAACTACGGTTTACAGGTCAAGTCTGATTATCCAGAATATCTTGTAAGGCGCAGTAAATCAGTGATTATATAAAGCCGTTCATTTTAAAACTTACAGTTCAGTGTTGTTCACCTAAATAATGGTGCTGTTAATATTTCAAAAAGTAGACTTCCGATTGCCCTCGTAATCTCTTTCCGAGAGGCCTAAGGGCGACCGAGAAATGGGAATAGAGATTTGTTTATTTTATTTTTCCTCCGCAAAAGTAGGATTAAAATCGATGAGATTTGAAATCAGAAAGATACTGAAGTTAGGAACTAGACTGGGATATAGAGAAAAACGTTCAAATCAGACCTGAAACAAATATTTGTTGGTACACAAAGCAACTGTTTGAAAAACGAAATGAATTATTTGATATTCAGTTTTTTTTTAATTCAGCTCATCAATTCCAAAATTTGCACAACTCCATCGTCGTTCGAGTTCCCACCAGTCAAACCGGAACAATCTTTTCCACTACAGTACGAGCCTCCTCCACCTCCGGCTTGTTTCGCATGAGTACCACTACCTCCCCCAGAGTACCCACCACCTCCCCCTGATGCCCCGTTATCTTCTGAACCACCTCCCCCGCCTCCAAACCCACCAACTGCTCCTGGTGCAGGGCCCCCGTTATTACCGCTATTCATACTTCCGGCTTGGCCTCCGATCCAGCCTTGAGTACGTGATCCACCTCTTTCCCCATGGGAGGATCCTAGTCTGGTGCAACCTTGACCAAACCAACCTGCACCCACTCCTCCATGATAGCTAGCGCCAACTCTGTTGCATTGACCTGACTGCCCATCTGTACCTCCATTTCGAACTTGTGACGATTCTTTCCCCACGCTACTGGTGCCACTTGATCCCGCCTGACCATCCACACCGTTATACCCACCCGAGGCTCCTCCTCCTCCACCTGCAGCCAGCAACAGAACATTATCTGTAGTGTAAACAAAACTTCCTCCCCCTCCTCCAGTGCCAGCATTGTCCTCCACAGATTTTCCAAGTTGAGCTGCAGTCTGCCTCGTGCTTTGTCCTCCTCTAACCTCCACTGAATCCCCTCCTCTTTGTCCCACCACAATATTTAACACTGTTCCCTTATTCAGTCTAAACTTCCCTTCTTTAAACGCTCCCTTTCCACCATAATATGTTCCTGGATAATCTCCATAATCGTATGAATGTGTTCCTCCCCGAGCTCCCCAGGCTTTGATGAGATAGCGGGTGGTCCGTGGAACAGTGAACGTCTGTATACTGCCGAAGCGTCCTCTTCTTCCACCGGCTCCAAATCCAGCTAGCAACAGAAATAAAAAGAAACTAGATCGTCTACTATAATTGACAAAAAAAAAAACAATGAAAAATGTAAATTGACATCAAAATGTTAAAAAGTAATAAGTTTATCAGTTGGCAAGTCAGTCAGTCAGTCTCTCCCCGAGCGCCCCAGGCTTTGATGAGATAGCGGGTGGTCCGTGGATTTGTAAACGTCTGTACAGTGCCAAAGCGTCCTTTTCTCCCATTCACCGTAAAATTAACCTCTGTATAAAAATATGGTTAAAAGAATTAGATTGTGCAATTAATGCAATATCTGTCGAATATAAGCAAATATACCATCCATGAAAAGTATAAATTGACATTAACTGGTTGCAAACAGCAAGATGGTCAGGTAATAAGTCCTTATTTGCCTGTGCCTCTTTGTCTGTGAGGGGCACAAATATGCAATCCCTTAGAAATCTAAAAATCCTTACAGCTACAACGTATTTCATCACCGAGAAATCGAAGCTTAAAACATTTCAAGGCGATCCGTTACATTTTAACGCTTGAAAAATTTATTGAAAATGCACACACTTGTATAAAAACGGAGAATCTTTGTTTGCTTTCTTTTTTTTTTTTCAATATTTGTTATTAATGCCTTTCACTTCTTTAGGTAACCATATGTTTAACTACTTGAACACCCTGACCACTAGAAATGCCGACCCCCAATAGAAACACAGGGGCAACCTGCAAAGGCCCAGGAGACATTTGCAAAAATATGTTTCGTAGAACACCACCTACAAGTTGCAAATTAAAGATCTTGTTGAACTCTGCTTATGGGCAATTTCAAGTCTCACACGGCTCGAGCAGCCGCGGTAAAACTTTTCGATCGAGTGCCATCAGCCAAAATTCCTCAAACCACGAACCTTTGTTTGTTTCAGAGGCCTTTTTTCGCCTTTTTGTGTCGAATTTCTTCTCTGCCAAGCTATCTTTCTTGGACTTTCGTCCAGTTTTACACCCAAACCGATTGCAGAGATCTGCACATGCGATCGAAATCAGGAAATTTTTATGCGACTGAAATTGAAAAGCTGCCGTTTGTAAGATGTTTCGCCGCAAAAAGTATCTCTAATTCGTGTTGACTGGTTCTAGTTGGCCATGAACACTTGATGGGCTGAATAATTAGTGCAAAAAAAATAATAATAAAATTGGCTTCCGAATGTCTACTGTATCCTTACTTTGGTTAAGGTGTTCCCAAGTTTTATAACTGATGTAATACAGACATGGACAAATGAGAAAACAACATGACATTTACCGCTATATTTGACGGTTGTGACAAGGATTTCATCGAAAGGAGACAAACAGTGCACAACAAATCAATTACTCTACCTGTAAATCACAAGAACTAAAATTTTCACATCCACATCAATTACAAGAACAAAAAAAAATTCAGTTTTGTCACCCTTTCTTTCCATATTGCAAGAAACAAGAACAGTTTTTCTCGTTGTGATGGAGTAAAGCCAGTACTCGCCGCTGGTCGCTTCTCCCTCTTCGCTTCGTTGTATCTCCTCACATGTATCCGCTGGAAATTCCGGAATGGAACCAAGACGAACTGAGGTCGAAAAAAACATTTTCTTCAGAAAGTAATTCTAATTTCCATTTGCCCACCAAAAATAAAACTAAATCTATATATGTACTGGAGAGAAGGCAAGTTTTGACGTCATGAGCTTCATTGCAGGGTTTCCGTCTTATTACAGTGCGCAAGTGAAAGAAAAAAAAAATAGTCACTTTTGTTTATTATGGTTCTCGATGGAAAAAAAGCTTTCGGGTCAGAAATTGCCTTCTGACTTAAATGTGGGAATAACTTCAAAGTATAAATTTAGACCAATTTATGTCATTCACCTATGGTCTTACTTTTCTACAAAGCCACTATTGTTCAGATGGGTTTCACTTCATTGATGAGTGTTTTCTATGGTTAAACTGACCTCTTTCCTTATTACTCTTAACATAATATCTCGCAGAATTTGGCACAAAGTTCTCTGGTCTGGCCTCCTTAGTCCGGTTATTTAGTTCACATAGTTCCTCAGAAATGACGTAGTTGAAGCTGTGACATCGGAAATCATCGTTACACGCCTGATTACATTCAACCGCAATCGATGATTTCATAGTTTTGAAGGTGTGTCTTCGAAGCATCATGCCCAAAATGGCATGCTCATCCTTTTTGCATTCTTGAGCGAAAATTTCATTAAAGTAGCACACTGCAATTACAATACAGAACCGCATCGTCATTACCACTGGTTCGTCTCTCCTCTAAGAGAAATTTTGAAAAAAATAAATATTGTGATTAATTTGGGTTGAAGAAAGCGGTATAATTTCAGTAAGAAATTACGGTAATTTTCTGTCGATTTTTGTTAATTATGCACCTGAGATTAACGAAAAAAAAGACAGGACAGGAAATGATTCATGAAATTGCGATTTGAATGTATAGTTTAGTGCGTTGTACAACCAGCTAAGTGTATAATCTTACAAATTTATCTTTTTATGCTTGTTTACACATTTTAAAATATTCATCAAAATGGCCCTGAAAATATAAAAATATACTAAGAAAATTTAACGTTCAAACAGAGAAAGAATTAACGAGGCTAATCATTCCACCAACTAAGATCGTCCATGTACTACCACCTGTGAAAATATAGCGTAACATGAGTCCTTACGTGTGATATCTGCACATTAAGTTTTCAAAATATCTGACCTGATCCTTACATTTCCTGTACATACATTTTTTCCTTTCTTACAGAGATTAGATCATCCTTCAGATAAAAGCTCAAGTTTATAACTTCGTTCAGGGAATCAATCCACTGGAACATACCTGTGTGTTTTATATTTATCAATTCGTTAATACCTTTGAGTAAATTACAATCCTTATTTCTTTTGTGTTATACAAACAGTAGTTTGAATTGTCAGACTTTATGTTTTACAGTTTTAAAGGTGTCAAGGATTTGAACATACAGACAACGTTCAGCATAACAAATTAAGAGTATTTTGCAAGGAAGACGTGTTAATCAGCAGGTCCTAAACACATCGTTGAGGCAGAATTATTTAGACGATATAACTTGTTCTCTGTCGATTAAAATGAGAAGATAAAATTGTAAGGGCCTGTTCCCAATATTATTGATGTACAGAATCCCATTGACTTTGAAGGAAAAGCTACGGTATTCAGGTCAAGTCCAATCAACGTCAGTATCTTATAACACACAGTAGATTAGTCATTATCTAATACGAGGCTTTCATAATGAAATTTACAATTGAGTACTGTTCACCCAAATAATCCTGCAAATTAATGACTTAGGAAATTACTTTATTGTATAATGTTCGACTAGAACATGAACTGCATTTTCCTGAGATTTTGAGCAGTTTTTTAAATTTCCTCCGTCCTGGAAAAATAGCAAATGAGTATATCTACAGAAAGCTCTTAGCTTTTGTAAGTGAAACCCACTTTGGATGCCCGCATTTGTACGTTTTTTTTTTTTTGTAGTATATTCTCCTTTTTTTGTCAGTTTTAAGTGTTTTGAAAACTTCCAATTAACGTGACGCCTTTAATCAGCGTTTCTCCTTTGCAACTCGGCCACAAGTACTGGCTCATTCCATCTAAAGCTACTGCAATTAATGCAGACGAATGTTCAAAGGGCATTTTTCAAACGTTGAAGTTTGGTAAAGCAGCTGAACTTTTTTTTGCAATCAATTGTCAGAAGAATAACTTTTCAATGTCTCTATATGAAATTGGCTCCGAATCTTTGCGGTAAGCGCTGATTTACTCCTGCCTAAAAATCGTGAAAGTTACAGTATTCCCTGCCTTAATAAAGCCATCTTAAATGAAAAATTTATATCAAATTTTCCGCAGCAATTAACGTCCTAATCAGGGCGCGTGTAATTTCCCATGGAGGTGTCGGAATAACCTTATGCCGAAAAATTGCTTCGGTAAATCGTGGCACATCACTTTCTATCTGTAATGTCATAAACCCGTCCGGACAATGGAAGAAAATGAAAAGAGTTTGATTTAAATGGAAGGTTCGTCGAATTCGGCCGTCCTATAATTTACATAGAGTTTTCGTTTTCGTTTTCGTTCAACACAATATGTCCAAAGCGGTTTTTTTGCTTTTGTTTTCAGGTTTTTGACCTAAAAATGAAATGAAATCTATGAAAAAGGAAAAAAAAAACATGTTTAATATTCCTATTTGTAGCAGTCAAAACAAAAACCACGAGTATGACTGAAAAAAAACACTGAGTTTAAAGGTTTCTAATTAAGCTGCCTTTGACATTTTGAGTTTTCTAAATGATAATTTTGAATCAAGATAATTGGGTATTCTAACCCAGTCTTATTTGGTCAAGGTAACCTAACAGTGGATATTCTCGGATGCATTTGGCGAGTATTTTTTTTTTGTTTATTTCAATTAGTAAACAGTGCAAGTGATTTAGAAGACCCTTCGTGCAATTATTTAGACGAAAGTTTCTTGTGATTTCATGTGAAACTCACCCCTTGAAAATCATCATTAGCCCTCAGCTTGATAAAATAAAATATTAAATACGCGAGAAAAATATGTATGGAGAACCAATACACATTGACCAGCTTCTTCATCATCAGGATTACCGGAGAACTTTTACAAACAGCCACACTTAAGGGACTTGTCATTATTTATCATCTGTCGGGGGAAGGGGGCGGGTGCAGGGGTGAAGGGCTTTGCTGGTGGAGGACTTTCATGGAGTCACGATTACCTGAAACTCCTCCGTGCAGTTCTGTACATTTTTATGATCCCCACCCTTCCGATGTCATTTCCAGTTCACTGACATTCAATTCTCTATAGTCTTCTGCCGTCATTCTCTGTCGGGGAAGACCGATTCTCCTCTGTCCCTCACTAAGAAACCTTGTGATCCTCCAAAATTCTCTATCTACCAGGCTATAAATAATGACAAGTCCCTTAGTTAATGTTCCTTCTTCTTCTTCATTTTTTTAATTTTTAATTTATCACGATTATCATTATTATTTGTGACCAATCACAACACACAATCTGATATCGCTAAAGTGAAATGCATATAAATCACAGTTAAGATTGTTCAAAAGACGACTCAAGCAATTGGTAATTTTCTGAACCAGCGTCGATTTAGTCTCTGCTGCAGTAGCGGAGGGAACATCCGGGTGTGCCAGTTATGTAGTAAACATAGTAATCGCTGCAGTTTATCACATTGACGGATCTTGACCAGTTGCAGCAGTTTGATCCCCAGTGGAAGCAAACTGTCCTGGTGACCTGACCATCAGCCACTGTGGGGTGAGCACCATTTAGCCAACCGGATGCGTGAGTGTTACATCGCTGTTTTGGTGGACATGAAGTAGGCATTCTTGTACCTGCTGCTCCTTCAAAACGATACCAACCATGAATACTTCTGTCACAAACCGTGTTTTGATTGCCATAGGTTATCTTTCTGTCTGACCCGGTCAGACTTTGATAGTTTTGACATTCTAAAATGGACAGAGTAGAAATGATTGACGGAAGTCCAAAAATCGAAACAAACCAGGTAGAACCCTTGGTATTTGATTTATATAGAATATATGACCTCTGCGCTACTTATTAGTGTAGTAAAGAGATTAAAATCTCCTGGTGTAGTAATCTTAACGTTTTTGACTCCAGGAAAAAAAAAAAGCGAAAAACGCAGCCAATATCTAGCCATAATGATGACCAACAAACGAAGTTAGTTACGAAATAGTTTTACGGCCGCATAATCACATTAAAGAGTCACAACATGAATTCAATTCAAGTAGTAATGGTTTTTCTTGTTTTGACTTTCCTCGTTTGTTGTTACAAGCATATTTAATTTCCTCTGGAATTAAGGCGGAAGATCTTCAGTGCAGGCAACCGTCTCAAACATTCCCAAGCGCAAAAACATAAAAAAAAAAATTTTCGGCAGTGTTCGTTGCATGATTACTTTTTGAGTCATCCGCTATCCTCTCCCTGTTGTTGCCTAATGGATTTCACTGTCATCCAATTGAAAACTAAAAGCAAAACTACATACTGAACGCCCGACCCCAGGAGAGTGAGCTATTGTACACTAAATTTTAAGAGCTCAGTATGGGGATGCCAAGTTGGTGCCCTTCCGTCGAACACCAAGGAGTTGGTGCCCTGGTTAGTATAAAACACCTGAGTGAATGGTGCTTTTTTGTGCGCTGATTGGCTGGTTCGGGAATGATTTGCAAGTTCTATTAAGTTAAATCTAATTTTCAACCAATATTCGTTATATTGTCTGAAGTTCAAACATTCTTCATTACCACTGTCGGTTGAAGTGGTGGATATTTACCTCGGCGCTTAAATATCCATGACTACTCTCCTCCACTTAAGTGGATTATTGTTAATTATTTTGGATTTTCGATTTTCATAACGTCACGTGAAATCCAAAGATATGACGCAACAAAAATCCTTGAGCGCAAAAAAAAGAAGCAAAATAAGTAAGTTGCTAGTTGCTTGATTACTATCTGAGTAATAAGTTTATTACCCCCCTGTTGTTTGTATCTACGTCAAGCCGGATGCCTGCGTGAAAGCATAGTTACAAAAGCAGCAACATTGGAAGACCCGACTCAACTTTGTACCTGATGGGAGAGGAATGCAAGATCTTCCATTCCCTATGTGGGGCTGGTTACATGAGCACTTGAACGATCCTACAGTGTTGGTACATGAAGCTGAACTGTGGCAATTGTGAACACCGCTGGCACATTCATCAATGTCTGTTGATATAGATTAGCAGGTTGATACAAATATCACATACAAGGTAGGACAGGAATAATTAGTGCCGCGCCAGAAATGTTGCAGGCCATATACATGAGTCGATTTTATGCTTTTTTTTTTTTTTTGGTATGGATGGTAGTCGGTTAAAATGGTAACGGTCATCAAACACACACATTTACCTGCAAAAGCTGCATATTCATATGCTAGTTTGGTCTGAATGCTTTACAATTAATCACTTGCTAAAGTTCCTTGGTCGAGCCGTGATGATCGAAAGAATTTGGCCCTTGAAAGTCTACCGAATCCTAGAGTACACATAACTTTTTTTACTCAATAAATACAAATATGTGCAAATGGGAAATGATGAGGGTAAGGTCTACTACTATTTATGATGGTTGCTTTAAGGTTTTCATTGAAAGGCAACAAAAAGTGTATATTATTGTCATTAGCTTTATATCTAAATTACCAGAACTATAAATTTTTAAACAAACTTTTTCACATTCATATCAGCTGCAACAACAAGAACTTGAACATTTTTACCTTCTGGTTCCATATCGCAAGAAACCAGAGCAGTTTTTCCCGTTATAATGGAATAAATCCAGTACTCGCCACTTTTCGCTTTTCCATCTTCGCTGGCCTTTATCTCTTCACATGTGGAATGGAACCAAGAGGAACTGAGGACAAGAAATATTTTCATCAAAGATAATTTCTAGCTTTACTTCCACCCTCTAATAACTTTCTTACTAGAAGTTTAGGTGTATAGTATCGCTGAGTATTTTTACGAGTTAAGCCGTCAATTTGTCACATAAGGTTTCAAAACGATTAAAAGTTGAACTTTATTTTCCATTGTTGTTCTCAAATCGCACACATTTGCTGCATGTACGAAAGTGTACATTTATCAATGAAAAGTGATTTGTAATTTATCACCAGTAACAAAGCTTTGAATCTGCCAGGAGACAAGCTCTTAAAGACATGGATGTGCCCTTTGCATATGAAAATACTTTCCAAAACTACATTTCATTTTCATCATCCGACTCAATCACAAAGCGACCACGCTTTGAATTAATCACTGCCGGTACTTGAGGAGCTGAAGGCTCTTAACTAACAACCATGAAACAGTTGTTAAATACGGTGCAAGAGTAGGAAACTGTTGCCAACTTCTCAAACAGATTTTTTTTACGGTAGGAAATAACTAATCGTCGAAATAACTGTACAATATCGCAGGATATTTGCACTCTATTCGCGCGTTGTTTGTTCCCTACTTTGTGCAGTTAGATAATAAATTTCATTACTCCTCTCGATCAGAGAAAAATATTTGGAGCTGGGGCCCGGAAATTCAAAATACGGATAACGCTATCCACTTGCTTTCGTTGAAAACAATTTGGTTTCGAAAGTGTAAATTTGGAGTAATATCATGTCTTTTGTCCATGGTGTCTCAAATTTCACCAACCAAGACCCATAATAGTTTAGGAAATTTAAATTTTACACTCAGTGTTAAGTCCTTTTGGGCGATGAAACTCACCTCTTTTCTTATTACTCCTGACATAATATCTCTCCGAATTTGGTACAAAGTTCTCTGGTCTGGCCTCCTTAGTCCGGTTGTTTAGTTCACATAATTTCTCCGTAATTAAGTAATTGAAGCTGTGACATCGAAAATCATCGTTACACGCTCGATTACATTCGACTGCAATCGACGATTTCAACTTTTTGAAGGTGTGTCTTCGAAGCATCATACCAAAAATTGCATGCTCATCCTTTTTGCATTCTTGAGCGAAAATTTCATACGCGATACAAAGTGTCACTGAAATAAAGAATCGCATCGTCCCGACCACCGGCTTGTCCTTTCCTGTAAGATAGATTACGATTAAAATTAAAGACCAAGATTATGCTATAATGCTAAGAATATAGGTATTTCTTGGATCTTGGCTAAAAACTGTTTGTGGAATGAGGGAAAAATCCACGAAACATCAAAACCAACAGACATAAGGATGGAAAATGAACCTTGAGATTCAGCCTTGTTTAATTGAAAACCTGCCAAGTTTTATTAATGCTCCCCTAAAGAAATGTGGGAAACTCGCAAATCTTTAAAATAGTCCTGATAAATGTATATTGGTGAGAGGACTCAACGTTTAGACAGAGGAAGAACAAATTCTATAGTTTATACTGTAGCGATCGAACCTTCAGCTGTTCTGTATTCAGATAAACTTTTCAAAATATCTGACCTGGTACTTTACATATCTTGTACGTACCTTGATTGCTATCCAAGGTAGATGATAACGCCTCTTGGAAACTGTTTAGAGGAATTTAGAATTTTTTTAAGGAATCAAGCTACCCGAAAGTAATTGTTTGTATTACATGACACCAGTTTGCTATTACCTTGGAGTAGATTACAATTATAATCCCAGAGTCTTTGATGTTTAGAAACAAGTGGTTGAACAGGTGTCAAGGTTCTTTACACACAAACAGAAGCCGGTATTTCATGGCTTTAATGAGCTTATCTCGAATCAAAAATTTATGTCAAACCTTCCGCAGCAAAACGATCTCTTTTTTTTTTTTTTAATTAGACTTCTAATTAACAGATCGCACTAGTAATTTTCCAAGAAAGTAGTGTAAGTAATATTATGAACTCCCCTGAAACGATGGAGGAAAATGAAAATAATTTGATTTACGTAAGAACTTCGTTTAATTTATCACAGAAAGCCATTCGAACCTCATTCAATACATGTTTACAAAGCGCTTTTTTTTCGTTTTGCTTTTATGGAAAGAGATACGTACCTATTTTTCGAATGACTAAATCCCAGAGTCAATCGCTTAGCACTAAAACATAAAAATTTTTGATATTGGGCGACGAAAATTGCAACGAGCCTAATGTTATTATCCTGCCAAATCGTGCCATGTTTGACCATTTCCCGGACTTCTCTCTGGCTTTTTTTTTTTCTCTAATTAAAAGTGAAATTTCGGAACAAGTGAATTAGCAAATAGCAACAGAATATAATATACGTTATAATGACGTGAACAGAGGCGGAAATCCTCAAAGAGAAAACGAAATGGACAGTCTGAGTTTTGAAGATTTTCACGCCCAGTTAGATTGCAAGTTTACACACGGAAATAGAAATGATGATCTCGTTTGAACCAGGCTATGAAATAATTTGAATACCATGTACTAAAATGAACTAGAATTCTCAAAATGAGTTGAACAATTTACAACAAATTAGGCTTAAACACGCTACCAAATATCTAATTTAGTGATATTCTTAGACCTTTTTTTATTATTATTGCTTTATCGAGTGAAATATCAATAATATAGGTATAATATCTACTAAAGTCACTTTTTAAATCTTAATGATTATGATGCTCGCAAACGAGTTATGGAAACTCCAATAAATGGACTATTTAGATTATCGATAAACTACAAAACCTCTTATAAGCGAAGTCTTACCCTGTGTATTTTTTTTACTACTTCATATCTTATGGCTGACTTGCATAACCAAACTTTTCTCTAGGTTATTTAATAAACCTGTACTCATGACAAACGTCCTAACATAACGAAAATAGACGTCACTTTACCACGTATTAGATTGCTGTAAGGAAAACGAGTTATGAAAATTCTAGATGAGCTACCTAGATAACTTGATAAACTGCCAAAACACTGATTAGTGACGTTTAACAAAATGTTCTACCTATTTGTCCCTTTTGAATCCTTTTTTCTTTCAACAAGAGAAAGTGTTGGAAAAAAAAGGTACGAAACGACTGGTAACCTTATTACTTTATTTACCGAAAACTGATATTGTTATACAACTGGAATTTTTTTTCAACAGCAGCCGCTATCATTGGTTACTTTGGGGTCACACGACATCCAATAATAAAAATGTTGCCTATGTAAAGTTTCTGATCTAAGTGAACAACATTACAAAATCTTTGACATCAGAAGGTAATAATGGAATGTTTCCCGCTCGTGTTTATTGACAACCACCTTTAGAGGTGAACACGACTCGACTGAGGACAACGTTAAACCGGCAAGACATTTCCTACGCACTTTAAAGGAGGTCATCAAAATGTTCGATTTGTTTCTGCACCGCCTCCTCTAATTTCTTTATTATGCTATACAACAAAATACTAGACGACTGTGCCTACTGTGAAGCGTACCTTTTGTTTTACTCGCGACCAGTTCTAAAGAGTTTACTATTAAAAAAAAACTTTCTATAATAGGATAGTTAATAGATTGAACTCATTGCACAGTTCCCTTTAAATTATGAATTTTATAATTTATGAGGTGGGTCACGTGCTCAAGCCTGAATTAAATTATTAACTTTATAATGATTTTTGACCACATTCTTACAAGCAAACTTTAAAAGAGTTTTATCAAATGTCAGGATTTTTAAGCTAAAGCGTGTTGAATATTATGATCCTAGACGGTGACATTATTAATATCTAGCCTGGGAAGAGCATTCTTATCTTCTCATGTTGAAAAAGGAACAAGGGATTTGAAAATATATAAAACTTCTGCAATTACCAATACAACTGCTTTTTCCTGTTAATGGGAAAATCTGCTTTTGAAAAAATAACTGTTATACTCAAGAAATGTTTTGGAATCAGCCCTAAAGTTCTGTAATTTGCACAAGGCCATTATCATTCGAGTTCCCACCAGTCAAACCGGAACAATCTTGGCCATTATAGTACGAGCCTCCTCAGCCTCCGGCTTGTTTTTCACGGTTACTACTACCGCCCCCAGAGTACCCACCACCTCCACCTGATGCACCATTATCCTCTGATCCACCTCCCCCACCGCCAAACCCACCAACTGCTCCTGGTGCAGGGCCCTCGTTATTACCGCTATTCATACCTCCGGATCGACCACCGATCCAGGCTTGAGAACGTGATCCACCTCTTTCCCCATGGGAGGAGCTTAGTCGGGTACAACCTTGACCAAACCAACCCGCTCCCCCTCCTCCAGTGCCAGCATTGTCTTCCACGGACACTCCTGATTTAGCTGCTGTTTTGTTAGTGCTTTGTCCGCCTTTAACCTCCACTGAATCTCCTCCCCTTTGTCCCACCACAATATTTAACACTGTTCCATTCCTATTGCACCTGACAGAAGCTGACAGTTAGCTTGTATGCCAGGTACAATACGTGTTACCGTATACCCCTTCTGTTTAACTGCTTTACTCTACCTTCGCTTATCATGTCACAATGAGCCAACACAGGAGTGTGAGGTTTGATGGAATTCAGCCAGTATATTCCGCTGACCGCTTGTCCACCTTCGCTCGCCTTGATTTTCCTTGCACGAGTCTGCAGAAAGCTCTGGAATGGCTCCGAGGATAGTTAGAAAATAAGAAAACGAGAAAGTGAAGAAAAACTGCGAAATCCTCCCCTCCAAGACAATTAGCCAAATCATTTTGCCTTAACGCTCACCTCTCTTCATATCTCGTCTGAAGTAATATCTATCAGAGTTGGGTATAAAATCTTCAGGCCTGGCTTCCTTTGTACGGTTACTCAGCTCACACTTGTCTTGGGTGAACGCATAGTTAAAGCTTTGGCATCTGACGTCACGATAACACTCCCGGAAACACACATCACCGAATGCTGCTCCAGTGATTGTTTTAAAAATGTGTTTTTGAAGCATCCTACCAAAGATGGAGACTTCACGTGTATCACGGTGGTACTGAGTAACAGCTGAGTGAACTAATACCAACATGAAGAGGAGAACTGGTAAATAAAAGAACTCTTGGACTCCCATTTTTGTTATAAAATCTCACCTGAAATGAAATCATTAAGTTTGAGAGCACAGTGATACAAATATGTAGGCTCCACTGAAAAACAGGGATAACTGCAGAGCCACTTATTGTTTGGCTGTTTTTCAAGTAGTATGACATATCGCACACACGCATTACGAGCGATACGTCATGCATACTACAAATTTAAAGCTTGTTGTGAAAAAGCAAGCGTGAGATATGGCACGAGTCGATAAGAAACGGAAGCTAAAATAGTCCCATTGAGCGTTCGTCTACGGCTTAATGAAAAGTTTTACTCATTTTTTTACAATAAGAAGTTGTCAAAGCTCAATAGCAGAAACAGTTTTTACTAAGTACAGCGAACGGTCGTCGCCTCATTGCATGCAAAAAAAGACATCTAAATATAAAGTAACAGACTCCTTTACGACCCATTCCCGAATGTAGTAGCAGCTTTTTTCTGATTCAAACATTCACGCCATACTATTAAAATAGCACACAGTTCGCTGCCACTAAAAACGCTTATTAAAAACTTCCCAAAATGATACATTTGGTTTAGCTCTATCCTATCATGATGATAACAGAACCATAAGGTACTTCTCCTATGCTGTTAACTTGCCTGAGTGAGTATCGGTCTTTCTTCACTTTTCAAGATCGGTAGAGAGATCTTTAGAAACAAATTGACTTTAAATAAAACTTGACTAGTATTGAAAGAGGAACTTTACAGAGTTCAACATGCTTAAGTGATAAAACTATGAAACATGATGCTCTGTTTTCTTTAAAAACTTCTTTGAATGCCACCTGCAGACTTCCTTTGAAAAAATGTCTGCTGAGATTCACGCAGAATTTCAGTTTTCTTCGAAATTCAAAATACGAAGTCGTTGTTATAATGCAAGTAAATGGCAACGAAACTCTTCGTTTTATCTAATAAACACTTTTTTCAGAATTATTTGGCTTTTCAAAACTCGTTTCTTATTATTGTTTGTTCGACACAGCTTTAATATTGTTCTTGTTAGGAATAGGGGAGAACCATAAACGTATTTTTCACTCAGGTCATGACAATAAGGCGGAACTTATTTCGATTCTTACGT